TAACTTATGACGTTACAGTGACAGTTGTATAATAATTGTAATTATCATGCAATCCCATAATTCATTATGGTTTCATTCATAGACACACAAATCCTGCTGAATTTTACCAATTTTTAATGCAGTTTGAGTGAAATTCAATTTGTAATACTACTGAGCATATTCGTTCACATAGATACTATGAATTATGGGAAATAAACTCCAATTATGGTATATATACTGGGTAATGGAAAACCATTAACAAATTAATAAATTATATTAGCACTTTTCTGAAATGTTTTCACAATATTATAATTCATGTCAATAATAAGTCTTTTTCATTCTATGTCACTAAGCAATATTTTGAGATATAGAAATAATCTTGAAATAGGAACCAGTGTTAAAATACAAGTTTCTAACATTTTGTCATGACATTATAGACTCCAGTATCTCAAAAAATTGTCTGGTGTTGTCCATTTTTTGTTTTTTTACTTTTCAGTATTCTAATGGTATATATTCACAATAAAGAAAATATGATGAAAATTACATATAATCTTCCATTCAGTTTGAACCCTCTTAAATGGAGTATATTTATTATCATTTTACTTACAAATGCATTTAATCAAGGATCTATAAAATAAGGTATATGTGCAATTTTGTTATTTTCATTCACAAAATGCAGTGAATGCTTGGATAGGTTTGTGTATAGAGAAATGAGAGTAATCATCACAAACCCATACATAGCCAGACAGGCTGAGACAAACACTAACAGATTATTTCACAGACTGGACACACTCGTTTGTATTAGTATTTCTAGACATGTATATTTTCCTTGCAATTTTTTGATTATATCACAATTCCTATGACTCAATCTTCGTCAGTTCTCGTGAGATCTTCATCACATATTACATCGCTTACATACGCTCAATTTGTAAATCCTAAATTGGACATATACTGTATATGGCTTAAGTATTCACAGAATTTTATTTTCGCTTACGTTGCTGATAGCAAATTTGCTAAATTAAAACCCAGTTATTAAACAAAGTTAATAAAAATACATTGATTTCTTCACAAACCTGTTAAGCAACACTAAATCTGGTAAAAGTAACTTCAGTGAATATTTTTCCCTCTGCAGAATATTGTATAAAATAATACCCCACCGCCAGACATATATTTCAAATGGACAAGCCCTTAGCGATGATCATGAATTCTGGGGCCCGGAGGGAAGCTGGAAAAAATGGTCAATTGCATACTTCTGTGGCAGGTTATTTTCCCTTAAAAGCATGTTTCAACAGTATTTTTTGCCTAATAACTGTTATTTTTTTTTTCTTACTAATGAGCCTCTGGAATTTTTTTTTTTCAGTGACCATTATTTTTTTCCAAAAATCACCCCCCCCCACTCCCCCAGATTTCAAATGGGTTGTCCCATGCCAGGTGCCTACGATATCATAGAAGAAACCATCCTCTGAAACCGTTTTGACTTACTATGTGATACCTAATCAACTACTTATTTGTTGATGCGCGACCTCTAAAGTATGCTGACCTTTTATAAGACAAGGACTAGCTGCGTTGACACATGCATCACGAGCGCTTAGATCACGGGAATACGGCTAGGAGTACTCTTACCTTTACAGGATTAGTGTTCGCCACATTGACAAGTGAACTCTGGGTCAAACATTATGTAAATTGAAGGCGTTGTCCTTTTAAACGTAGGCGGTGATTTTGAAAAAGAAAGGGTTTCTGATATTTAAACGAAGGAAATACTGAGAAAAACACTTTAAACTGCATGAAAAATATAAATATTGATCTAAAAAATTGATCCATATTTATAGATGAAAGCAAAATTTAACATACCCGCCACATAGTAATGTAATGGTCAATCCAAAAATTTAAAAATAATATGTACCACACCGGTAGATTCGAATTTGTCTTCTGCATTTTGAATTTGATCCGATGATTTTACCGATGTGTAATTTCTTCATCCTTTTTTCACATTCTTTAAAACATAGACATTTCCCATTTACCCAACGTGGGGTAAAAATGGGTACTTTGTGAGCTGGTGTTGTTTGTTTGATAATTTTCTTCAGGAATATTAGGAATATTTCTCTAGTCCGCTAGCCGACTCGACGCATTTGTTGGTATCTGACAATTCAAACGAGCGGTTTCGCGGAAGTCCGGCGAACTGAGTCTTTCCTCAAGTCAAGATTTTAATCGGATCGTGCACGTCAGATATGTTCAGATTTTTTTATTCACAATAACCCCAAGATCAGTGAAAATAAATTCAACACAAAACACCCAAAAAGTCTTTTCAGCGAAAATTAATTCCAGCTAAAATAAAGTATTTTTCAGTACATCGTTCCCACGTTCTCAAATTCGTTGCATTTGTTTTGCATAAGGGACACGTCGTTTTATTTTCCTGTCTGCCCATATCTGAATTCAATGCGACGGCAACAGTAACACGACTGTCGCCGTCGCATTGGATTCAGATTAAGGGATTTTTTGTCTATAACATCTTAAGTCAATCAATTGACACCTTAAGTCAATCGATATAAATTTTCGGTAAAAAGACGTCATATTTACGTCATCCACTTCTCGACTTCCCCAAATACGACTGTCATAAATAACATATATATATCGGCTCAGATCTAATACCCGAACGCTCAAATTTATAGTTCTTTTGAAACTGTGTAGGTCGTCGATGAAACGAGGTGCCTGATTGGTTGTAATACTTTTATACTTTTATCCAATGACGTAACAGGATTTGGTCACATGACTTATTTTCACTGTTGTTGACGTATGTACCGAAAGTCGGAATCGAGCTATTAGCGTTTGAATACTGGGAGATGGTGGGTTTTGTGTTAACGTTCATAAACTGAACAGAAAGCAAATAAAAATGTACGCCTGCATAATGTAAAAGATTGAGATTATAATCAAATATTGTCGTCAAAAATATTTTTAAAAATCATAAGTCTTTTCCAAAATACACAAATCACAAGTGAAGACTATCTGTGCATATGTGGTAGCACATATGGGCATAACACTAAAGTTTAATTTGTTTTACACTCACTGAATATTAATCGCTATAAAAGCAACTGAACTTCATTTGTAATATTTAACCATGGTGATATAATCATGGTACTACATATGAATATTTCAGGATAATTTTTGTGCAGTTCCAGAATGTAGGGAAACGCGAAAAAAAAATCACGGATGAAATGATCATTGGTTAAGAAACATTGCTCTAACCGAGAGACAATCCTATTTAAAAAGAGTGTTTCTCTGCGCATGTAAAGTAGACGAGAATAATCGAGTGTCATATCAAACCAATTCAAACCGTGATCACGAAACTGACGTGTACGTAAAACACAAACCAACATATTTAGAGCGAATTTCGTCTGGTCAGCCCTAAGGAGGATCTATTCGAAAATATGTGTCGGGCGAAGCCGCATTCACGCAAAAAGGACTTTTTTGGTCTGAAAAATGATGAAATGTTTTAGTCTGAACTTGACAAAGCCTTATAAAAATTACGGTAAGAAAAGGACAGTTTTTAGTAAAATTACGTCATTTCCTGAAAAAGCATACCGGTAATTTTTGTTAGTTTTTCTGTTTTCTGAGTTTTCGAGAAAAGGAAACCCATTTGGGAGGCACATAACGTATACTTTTCCTGTGAGTATCCCCCATCCCACCGGGAAGAGCGATCCCCGTCCACTTTAAATTTCGCTCTGCAAAACATCATTTACCAATATGGGAAGTAGCTATGTGTGTGATATTCGGCGACTTTTCTAATAATACCGTTTATTCACCCATCAGTAATGATTATTACCCCGTGGGCTTTCTTGTTTTTGTTTCCTGCACCCTCTAAACATGACAATGTATATAAAGGGTAACCGAGCACACAACTTCACTGGTGCACAGTTAAGAAAACATCGACAGAAGCCCCTCACTGGCAGCTGGTAGTCATTGTTAAACACACACTGCATACATTCATTTGTAAATACTTGAAGCATTTTTAAGTCGACCATGACAAGTTCATTGCACCATGTTCAAATACGATCTGCTTGAATAATTGACTTTATTTGTGTTATAGGTAATTTCCTTCTTTGTCGCGATCGATTTGTTCGTAATAATTACATTTTCGTTTCAGCAAACTTTCCAGCCCAAGTGATATCTGAACATTTAACCTTGTTTCGTTTACCTTGCAAGATGAAATACAAACTAGTTACGTTTTTTTTTTTTTTTTTTTTTTTTTTTTGCATATTGGTACAGACACTGATAATATAGACAATTCATTATTTCGTGAGGGGGTAATTGGTAGAGGGGAGAGTGGATGTTGAGAAACAACTAACCTACTCTGTCGCTGTGCAAGTCCATTTTAGCTTATATTATTATTATTTTGAAATTAACTCGGTTGTAACACAGTAACATTATTCAGTAGTCGTTCAAGGTGCCTAGAATTGTTCTGTTCCAAACCCATCACAGTGATTCGAAATTGTTCGTCTCTGTCAGTGATGACAGAAACAATGTACCCATGTTATTTTAATCACAATATTTATCATCACTTTAATTTCGTATTTGAATTATATTTCATATCCGAACTTTTAGTCCATATTTATACAACGTATTGCATTGCTACACTTACTTGCTCATAACTGTGTTAACCGAACAGTGCCTGTCAAAGGAGTTTCGCTGAAAGAAAAAAGCAGAGAGGATACCACTTCGCTCATGTTTATTTTTAGATCAGGTGTACATGTTAAATTTGTACCTGTTTATGAAATGAGAAATGTAACACGCCTTTGTTTACTTTAAGTATTTAAGTCCATTCTAGCGTAGCCTCGAAAACACGTGAATAAATTGCATAAATTAATAATTAATCGATGACGATAGTATTTCAACGCGCTGCCGATCTCAATGAAAATAGTGCTTCTGAGTTCCAAAATAATAAATACCACCCGCACGATTCTGACTGAAAAGCAACATAAATATTGTGTCAATTTTCGACTTCTGAAAGTTGAACTGATTCAAAGCGATTTTATCTGACCTTGAAAATGCTCGAAATCACCGGTGCGGAGTGATATCTACGCTGTGTGTTTCAGAGGCTGGAGGGAAATTCGTCGTTCTACATGATCTGTTTTCAGCGACGACGGAGGCTGTTGGGATCTTGATTACTCTATTAAAATTTGAGAATCTGTCGGATTTTTTTCTTTCTGGACTTTTGAGCATTTGGAAGGATTATCATAGACTAGGACTAGGATGAATATCTCTTTGCGGTCGTGGTCGACTGTGGTTATATTTGCCGCTGTTATTGCGGGTAAGTCATATTTCCGTCCCGTGTGTTGAAGAATAACTCTAGTGAAATGTCGCCGTTATGTTACGAATTTCATGCCGTTTTCAAGATATTTTTCATTTTTTCTTCTGATTTCAATTTTGAAAATATACATTTTCATAGCTCAGTGGGTCCTGAGTTATAATATGATTGTATCTCGCCTCTCTTTAAAATAGCTGTATTTTTCGAAAGAAATAAACAGGTAATTTATGTAATTAGTTATACGGACATCGTCGATCTTGGGTGTAGCACGGCCTAAGAAGTCACATCAATTTATTCTTCATTCACATCTATCCTGCATAAAGCGATGGTGATAACATCATCTATCTCTTACCTTAGGATGGTCACATAGATGATGTCAAGCCCATCTTTGTGAAATGTCACGAATCTTATCATACAACATGACTAACTTGAACTTGTATCTATTTCAAAATTGTTGCAGTGAAACAACTCCCGCCAAAATCCAAAATTATTTATTGCGTTGAAATTTTTAATTTTTATCTGTATTTTCAAGGCTTTCACTTCTGTTATCGGGACTGTCAGACAAATCTTATTTACAATTCCGCCTCTGTCGGTTTTGTCGTAAAATCGATGTTTATTAGTTTTACGTGTGAGCTGTCAGTTTGCTGTGAACGTCTTGACAGCGTCTTGATACATCGATGGCTGCACATATGTTATTTCGTTTTCTCATCTCCACAGGACAGCAGATGGGCCCTGCTGTTATTCGAATCTTGACTCTCCCGAGAGAAAACTCGCTGCCCACCAGCGATTGGGACAATGTTAATTGTTTGTGTGGTTTTTTGAATCACTGTGTTTACACGTCTTTTCATTGAACAAAGCACTTCTGAGATTACAGTCAAAAAGAAAACACTCTCCAAGTGTACATTGAAATAAATGAAAAAATGTTATGTCATTTAGTAACACAGCTTTGTAAACTAAACTGTAGACAATGGTCGTCCTTAAAGAAAGTTCACAACTAATTGACTCAATTGACAGTTTCTAATGAAACTTGCTTGCTTACAATTTGTTTTGAAATCGGGGGGGGGGGGGTTAGTATAGCTGTGGTTCACATCTCCAAACTGCATGATACCACAGTTAGAAGAAGGGGATACTTGTGTTCTCAATCAATGACCAATTGTAAAAATACTTTAACTCCTATCCGGCCAGCCCATGTACTTTTACATTGACTTGACCAGATATAGGTTAAGTAGCGGTTGTTTTATTTCACAAGAATGTGATAATAATTCGCCTAGCAATAACTCAGTACTTCCAGATTTAAAAATTATTTGCTGGATTTTTACTTGGACTGAAAATCATGTAGTTTGTAGGAGTATCTGAGGTTTTATTCATCTGTTGTGTCCAGAGACATGACATGAACTGAGGCAAAAAAGGGGGAAAGCTGTAAAAATGGACAATCGACAATGTCCAAGTCTGAAAAAAATTAAAAATGTGAAATAACCCACTCTAAATCCAAAGCTAATTGGTTCGTAACATACCATGTTTGCTATAGAAGTGCATAAACATAAAAAATAATATTTATTGTATGGTAAATCACTAAAATACAATCTTTTGACCATAGACACACCTTTTCTCTGACATTTACATAAGCGTATACAATATCAATAGAGCAAATATGGTACCATTAATGAACTTACAAAATTCACTACCTAAGTTCCTATAAATAGAATGAAAATTCAGGATAACTATGAATTTGTTTATAAAATTCTTGATTTTGCTTGAGTGTTAATTGCAGGATTTGGTCAACATGGAATCATCTCACAAAAAAATGAAATGCGAGAAATATTTATGTCAACATTTCTTCAAAATATATTTATTATTAAAATATTTGTAATTTATGCTTGATATAACATAGTTTATATTAGTATAAACGCCTACATTCATGATGGAAGACTTTTTTTTTATCTGTGTTATATTGAAAATATCTGGAAAATTGAGATCAATAGTCACCATGTTTTACTTGCCCTTTTTTTTCAAAAAAATGATCTTTTGAAAAAATGCTTGAATGCATGTGAATGATTTTACTTGCAAATTACTAATGTCCTGTTTTCTGAATCTTTTAAAAGGGCGATGGTCAATGTGTTGCGTTTGATATGGGACTCATAATGATGTACAAAACGCATGTAAAATTAGAACACGTACTGCACGATGTGCTTCTATCCTTTTAATATAAATTTGAATATCAATTTATTAAAATAGAATACATTAGCTATGAGATTTGAATTTAATGTTATTCGCAAAACTGAATGTCTTTTCAGTACTTGTCTGATTACTGATTTTTGTTTTGATTCTTAATTCGCAGCTCATTTTATTTTAATATTTAGGGCAGATAGTTTAATTCACAAACACGATTTGTTATGGTAAGGTGGGTGAGAGTTTCTCACTTGTCAATGTTGGGAGTAATAAAACAAAACTTGAGCAGTTTTAGTTTTTCAAAAATCATTGAAAATAATATCCGTAATTTTAAATTAATATTAATTTTTTAACAAATTTATAGAATTTTCATGGCCTTCTGTAAGTTGAAAAATGTTTCAATCAAATTGCTCACAAAGCTTGCATCTCATGAAGAAAATCTAATCCTACCATATTACCAAAAAAATATTTAATCTAAATAGACAATGTTTAGTCAGGCACCAATAATTTTTGTTATTGGAGAATAGATGGTGGGAGCCCTGATATTGCTTACTGTTTTCAGTTTAAAGTGCCTTAGTTAGTCATTGTGTTTTCTGTATACAACAAATGGTAACTCACTGCACTACTGTAATTTGATTTAAACTGATAGAAATACTAATATAGTATCTGGGACTTGGTTGAAGATTACAAAAATCTTACTTTGTGTGAAAAATTTGACTGACTCGGGACAAGATATTCAAAAGACATGGATTTAAACCTGTCCTTGTATTTATTTAATTCCAGTAAAACCTTTCCCTTTTAGCCCCTTGAACATATCTATGTACTCAAGAGGAATTTCAGCAACTGTAAAATAGTTAGGCCTAGAAAGTGTAATGTCTTGTAATTAACCTTCTGTACTCACACAGACATTATGTTATTCTAAATACTCAAACTATGGGGGAATATTACCAGCATCCACGTATTCAGCCTCACAGGTCTTTGTCCGGTCAGTGACTGATATAGAAATTACACCCAATGAGAACATGAACCAAATTAAATTAAAAACAAAGAACATCTGGTTCTGGGTGTAAACATCTTTGCCAGCCAAGGTTAATTAATTAGGCCATCACTTTGCGATTATACCTTCCCACTATAAAACTATATTCACTGTTCAAATCAAATACAACAGTGCACGCTCTGATCCGTTTCAATGGGAAATTAAACATGAAGTCGTGACAGCTATGGATCTCCAGGATTTAGCGAATGGATGTAAAAACTTTCTCGGGGTTATAAATTGTTGTGAATGTTTTTGATCTTTACCGTATTTGCTCTATTAGAAGTGTATCTAATAAAAGTGCATGTAAACAACTAATTGTATAGATCAATAGATCATTCAATTGATCAATTTGTTTTTTTGGCCATAGACACACCATTGACATCAGCACATACGCCACTAAAAGAGCAAATATGGCATATACGTATTCATAACTGCTTTTCCATAATTAGTAAAAACAACATTCAACACATGTGAAAACATATCTTTTACTGCTACCTAAACACCTTGAACTTCTCAT